ACATTCATCAAGTAGTTATAAGCTTGTTCATCTAGTTTCTTGATTTCCTTCTTGTGATACTCAAAGTGTTTCACCGTATATGCCTTTACAACATTCCATATATGGTCCTTAAAAGCTTGGTTGTTGACTCGTTTCTTGAAATTCTACCACATGTGTCTTACACAAAATCTATAATCCACACCCTTTAAGTTTTCTTCAAAAATTACCTCCAAATTTCGCAATGAACATAAGTAGCATCAAACTTTATAATTAATATATATATAAATATAAGGTGATGGGTATATTAAGTATGTAAATAAAACATAAATTTTTACATTCTGTCTATCCAAAATGAATGTCCTTGCAGGCTCATCGAGTGATCCAATGTCTTCAAATAGCAAATCTAGAAACTACTTCTAGTTTGCTATGTCTCTCCATACATAATTGCATATGCAATTGGAAATATGTTGTCATGATCATTTCGCCAACATAAACTAATAGGTCACTCTTGAATATTCCTTTCAAATGGTCTACAACTAACTAAAAACCCTTTTCCTACCGATTGCCAAGAACATATACATTTTTTGAAATACACCATCATAAACATCAACCTTCACGAGTGTTGCTAGGATTGAATTTCTTAATTACAATAGCATATTTCCATAACATTGCATACTTGCTCACTTTTCCTACCTCTTATAATTTACTTTACTTTCTAGAATTTCCTTAAAACAGTTTATCATATAAAAATTTTCCTTTTTCTCTCTCTCTCTTATAACCTTACCTCTCAAGGCATGTGGATCAATATTAGGTCGATCCCTAATATCTTCTAGATATTTTTCTACAATCCATTGAACAATCATCTTTTTCAAGTCAAAATCCTTTCTACATTTATGCTTGTTGTAAAAGATCTTAATCTACTAACAAGTTACGTCAATAGAAGGTAAAACATGAAACTTCCAACCACACTTCTTATGACAGATCGTACTAATACAAGTAATCATTATTTTTCTTATACTTATAGTTATATTCAATCCGAATTGCATATTCCCTCAATGCTTTCCTAAACACAAATCTGCTCTAAACTTCATACCAAGTACAAGATTTGTTTTACTTTTAAACTCAATCTCGGGGTTAAAGATTGGATATCTAGGCTTTGTTACCCCAACCTCGTTGTCGAACCATCCATACTTCTTAAATTATCATTTTCACAATGTTCGGTATCATTCTCACCACCCCAATCACATCCATCATTGACATTACCATCATTATCTCTCCCTCTTTTTATCTAATCTTAAACTTCTTCATGCACCCTTTTGTAAGCTTCGGTGTTAAATAAATTTTCTTGGTCATTATCACTCGTTTTTAAAGTCATTCAATCTCCCATCTCCTTCATCATTGCCATTATGGTCTAAATTTACATCAACATATTCATGATTACCCTCACCCTAACCCTCCAACCTGTCTTTCCTCACCCCCACCCCCACCTTCATCCTCACCCTCAACCTCATTGTCACTACCATTATCAATGTCTTCTTCTATAGACCTATTTCCATCCTTAGAAAAATCTAAATTCAATATAGGAGCATCCGGTCCATGCTCAACATACATAAATAACATATTTTTCTCATAGACACTTATATAAACACACATTTTGTAAATCATAGTTATCATTTAAAACCCTCAACAAAAAATAAAAAATAAAAAAAAATCAAAATATCATGTTAAAACACCAATCCCCTAAATACCATAAAGAAGACACATTTTTTAAACTAAATTGACAAAAAAATCATACCATTTTCTACATAACAAACACAAACAATTGAATCCAAAACTAAATTCACAAAAATACCTAATTTCCATTTTGAGACCCTTTCAACGTGAAAGCCTAACAAAAACCCTTAGCAAAAGACTGCCATTTTGTTTAGGACCACTAACATTTATTAAGAACCACACACATGTGCAAAACCCACATAAAATTAAACATTTTGGGGTCACTCACCAACATTCCAACCCCACATAAATGCTTTTTACCAAACATAAAGACAAAGATAAAGACAAGAACAAAAACCTTTAATTGATGCTCAAAACATCAATTTTTCACTATGCCTTTACCTAACAAATTAGCCAAATACAAAGATAGGAAAAAGGCAAAGAAAGTAATTAAAAATACATCTTTTGAAGTAATTAATGACTAAACAAATACATTTCTAATAGCAATCGATTTCTAAATTATTGACCTTAAAATTTAAAGCAAATTGTCATAGACTAATGTAGAACTTCGGATCGCAAATAAATTCAACAAAGAGACAAGAAAATGGTCTTAAGCACTCTCTTCCCTCTCTTCAATTTGAATGTTTCTCTCTTTCTTTCTTTCTCTATAGATGTCTCTAATGGCTCTCTCTCTCTTCTCTCTCTCTCTCTCTCTCTCTCTCTCTCTCTCTCTCTTTGTTATAGTTAATGAATATGATTGATTTTTTTTTTCAATTTTAACAATCCCATCTTTTTGTTTCAAAAATCACATCTTTTGTTTAAATTAAAGGTGAGAGGTATTTTATAATTTCATAGGGTAAGCATGCTTGACAAAAAGGACATCATTGACCAAACATCGACATGTCATTTCATTATTGGACCATGTCCGTATCATGTGCAAAAAACGTGATCGAAATTTAGTCAATGGGATCAGTGGACTTGATTACAAACCAAAAAATAGTTATGATACTTGAATTGAAAAAAATTGATTTCGAGACACCAATATACGATTAACGCACAATAAATGATACTATTAAATCAATTAGCCTTTCAATAACTAATTCTATCATCACAACCGATAAAACATAATATCTTTAACTCAATCAACCAATTTATTTTTGCTTCTTTTACAAGATTGTGCAATTTTGGCCTATCACCCAATTGAAGCTGAAGGTGTTTGATGAAATGTATGGTCAAGGATGTCTTTGCTTGAATTATAACCTGCCCTCCACATTGTTATCACCAACCCACATAAACCCATAACTTGATTACTCCACCGAGTTTGGATCTACCCAAGTTCAGGAATTAGTCATTCATAGTTGTTCGATGAACTGGGCTTTTCACTCCTTTGGCAAGAAACCTAACACTGCTGCTCCCATCATTGGATTTGCAGGATTTGAAACAAGCCAAACGTTCTAATCTACATGTGCTGTAAGGACCTACCAATATACATGTTAGCTCTATTTACTATTTTTTTCTATGTATAGAAACCCTCTAATTTTGAAGAACTTTACGTTTGTTGGTCTGGTTTCATTAACAATGCAGAACGCCCTTACATGAACAAATTGATGGCATGGGAAAGTCATTCTTAGATAAGGTATACCTATTCTTCTTCCTTCTTTTAAAAATGTTTGTCCAAATTGCATTTCGATTTTAAAATAATTCTCAATTTTATGAATTCTATGCATTTTAATCCTCTTGTAGTTCCATCAGCTAGAAAATTTTCAATTATTCAATCACTAATGCATTTTCATTTCATTGCGTTTTGCCTTTTGGCTACAGATTATTTAAAGGAAATTATTTATTACAAATAATACATTCTTGTTTTCTTTTTCATGTAAACAAAAACTTGTTGCCTTATTCAATTTTCTTAAACCTACAGAATCATTTTACATGGACAAAACTCCTTGAAACTGAAAACCTTAAAGACAAGGATGATGCTGAAGGTGTTCTTGAGAAGATATTTGCCATGTTCTTTAAACATTCAGGAGCACTCATTACTTCATTGAACAAACACTGTAAGGAAAAAACTGAAGTGCACTTTTCATTCTCGTTTCCAAAGTGTTTTTTTTTTTTTTTTTTGGCTAAAGGATAATAATTTTCCAAAAATATTTGTACAGAGATAGAACTACTCCTAACTACAATCTAACTACATACATGTTAGAGATACTCAAGGGCTTGAGTGCCAGGAATAGGGATATGAACACGTAGAACTTTTCTAAAAGACAATAAAAACAAAAGGTTGGTTGGTGATTTTATTATCTTTATTGCAATCATGGTGTGATCAAAATCAAGAATGGAGAAAATGAAAAGGAAGAACTCGGTAGAAAAGAGTTATTGGAAAGGTGAAATTTTTATCTTTTTTTCGTAGTGTACAACAATTAAAATTTCTTAGTAGTCGATACAATTTTGCATTAAAAGCTTTATATGAATTGTGTGGCCATTTCCAACAATGGTTTTGAATGAATGTTTTAGTGCCAAGAAGATTTTTAAGCAATTGAGAGAAGGTTATGATAGTTTCAAAGACAAATTTAAGCTGTTTTTGAAGGTATATGTCTCTGTCTCTCTCTCATATAATTATATTTTTGCTTTTCTATATATACAATATATCTGTCCTAATTTGCCTTCTTTGGATTCTGCAGTTGCTAGGATGGCTGAATGTGTGTCTAAGACTAAGCAAGATATATTGCATAACATTTTAAAAGAATGGCTACCTTTTTTTATGATTTTGTAATAACAATGATTCCATCTTCATCACATGCAAGTATTATAACTCCTTTTAGTCATGTCTGTTGATGTTTAGGATCTATGCCACTTTGTGGCTTCCTACTGTTGTCTTCGTATAATGTATTGATTTGTTAAGACATTGTTGTATTCTCTGTGTTATATTACTGAACCTTTTGGATGTTTATATGGAATGCTCTGTGGCAACCTAGAAAGTCTAGAGAACTGGTGTTCCTTAAGTAAGGGAAGAGAAATGCCTATCCTATTCCAACAGAAATGGCTGTGTGGCAGAGGCAAATAGGTTGCTCATATTAATTCTGTTAAGTTTCTTGCTTTGTCCTTCTCCTTTGCCCTTACATCTGATCCAAGCTCACTTCAAGATTTCTACGTGGCAGAGGCAAATAGTAATGGTAAAGATGTACCCTGAACTTTTTTAATTTCTTTTGTAGTTGCATTGAAATCCTAAGCTTAAAAGAGAACTATCTTTATTTAACGTCGACAAAAAATTGCATTTTGGTCTTTTGTTTGCGTATGACATTCATACATTATCTTATTGCAATTCTATTGACTGCTTGGCTTGCAAGGATCCCAAGAGGGTTCAAGCTAATGACTTCTCTTGCAGTGGTCTTCATTTGGTCGGTGGTATCAATTGCAGTAGGGTCTAGGATAACACAGTTAATGTAGCCCAAATACCAGGGCTTAACACACATACACACCATGGGGTATTAACCATGCACTATGAATCTCTCTGGCTTGAATTGACCATGCACCATGGGGTATTAATCCTCCTCATGCATACCTTCGTGCCATCGAAATCTTGACAGTCCTTGAAGGTAGCCTTGAAGTTGGATTTGTTACATCTAACCCTGAAAACCATCTCATCAACTGACATGATTATAGAAATTCTGTTAAGATTGCCCCTAAAGTTCTTTCTTCAATTCAAGAGTGTATGCAGAAACAGGGAGGCTCTTGTAACAAGTTCCCACTTTATTGCTCTCCACTATCAACTTTGCCCTAAAAAATCTGTCTTGTTCATATACATTAAAGGTGGTAAATGCATTAGAGGTGGCAAATCAAGAATATCATTTTCTATCACATTAATACTTCCGGATGGAACTACCTGTAGAATTGGTGGTGATGGAGACATGCTACCATCCATCGTCAATGATCGGGAGTTGGCATATAGAACTGATCTTGTCCATTCAAGCAATGGTTTATTATGCTTGTACATCAGAAATCTTATGGAACCCGGTGACTAAACAATATTGGCATCTCCCTGGCTCTCCTCTTATTGCTCGTTTATATGAAAAATTTAGAAGGCAAACTATTTCTGAGGTTATTATTTCTAGGTTTGGTTTCCATCATGGAATAAACAACTATAAATTTTTTCGAGTTGCTCAGATATCGAATGAATTCCATGCTGAGGTTTTCACATTGAGTGCAGGTTGTTGGAGAGACGTTGAAGCCCCCATTCAAATAAATTTTGGTATGCCATGGGTTGTGGGGTGATTGTTAAAGGAGTACGATATTAAGTGGTGTTCAAGTATTCACCAGAGATGACATGGCAACGACACTTTCTCGAAGATTGGAGGCGTGGGCCAGCTGCCTTACGATAATTTCGACCATGAGATTACTCCAACAAAACTTATGGTGTATAAGGATTCACCTGCGATGATCATATACAGAAGAAAAAAAATCAATTTATGAAATTTGGACAATGAAGAATGATGAAACTTGGACACGGCTATTTATATTTCAGAAGACTTTAATTCTCGAAACCTAGAGGGCTTTGGGAGTTTGGAACTGTTGAACTTCTTGGATTATAGATCAAGAATGAAATCCAAGAAATGAAACTAACATTGAAGCATGGAAGCAGAGAATAGAGGATAGAGAGTAGTGAGCTACAGAAAAGAGAGGGAAAAAATGAATATTTGGAATAGCTTTCAAAATTACATTTACAACTTATTACTGTTTTCCCTTTTATACAACAGTTTGTTTTCACACTTAGTTTTAACACTCAAACCTGACTCCTAACTAACCAACTAACTTGGTAACAAACTTCTAACTAATTAAGCTAATTACAATTAATGATAAATATGCTTTAATAAGCACGTGTGCCTTGCATACTTGCGCACTTCTAATACTCCCCCCTTAAGATGAGTATGGATATTATTCATACTCATCTTGCTAGTCAAGCTATGAAAAACACCAAGTTGAATAGATTTGGTGAAAATATTTGCAAGTGGGTGAGCAGTAGGCACAAAGTAAGGTTGAACAAGCCCAGCAAGCACTTTCTCACGTATAAAATGGCAATCCACTGCTATGTGCTTAATCCTCTCATGAAGCACAGGGTTTTTGTAAATATGAAGAGTGGACGGATTATCACAAAACAATTAAGCAAGCTGGGAGTGGATGACACCAAAATCCTCTAGTAAAGACAGCAACCACATGATCTTATATGTTACGGTTGCCATGGCCTGGTACTCAGCTTCAGTACTGCTTATGGCAACAAGAATCTGCTTCTTAGACTTCCAACTGATCAAGGAATTCTCTAAAAAAACACAAAAGCCAGAAATGGACTTCCTATTTTCGAGGTAACCAACCCAATCACGATAAAAAAAGGCTCGTAGCTGAAGTGAAGATTGAGCTGAGAACAACAAGCCTTGACCAGGTGTACCCTTTAATAACCTCAATACTCTATGAGTAGCCTGTAGGTGAACCAAAGGAAGCTTATCCATGAACTATGCAAGAACTTGCACAACGTAGTAGATGTTAGGTTTGTTAAATGTCAAATACAAAAGTTTCCCTACCAATTATCGATAGTCAGTAGGATTAGGAAGAAGATCATCAGAAGCATGTGTAAATCCTTACTTAGGATGGATGGGCGTGGATACAGGTTTAGAATCTGAAAAGCCATATTCTGCTAACAAATCCAAAGTATACTTTTTCGACAAATGATAATACCAATCTATGATCTAGCTACTTCAATACCTAATAAGTATTTGAGATGCCCTAGATCCTTAAGCTTAAATCTCAAACCCAAGAAACACTTAAGATCATTTATCAAAGGATGAACTACTAGTAATGACTATATCATCAACATATACAAAAAGAGAAAGAAAATTATGAGTAGCAGTAGTTATAGTGAATAAGGAGTAGTTTGCCTCAGATTGCTTAAAACCAAACTCAACTAGGGCTGTAGTAAATTTAGCATTCTAGTGTCATGAAGCTTGCTTCAACCCATATAATGACTTGTTTAATTTACGTGACCAAGTTAAAAGAGTTACTTGAAAACTCTCCCTATAGCTAATATTCGAGTAGAATATCTATAAACACTGTCTCATCTAGGTCACCATGCAAGAAAGCATTGTTGATATCAAGTTGAGACAAAATCTAACCCCGAATTGAAGCTAATGCAAGAAACAATCCGATTATTGTATGCTTGGCCATAGGACTAAATGTTTCTTGGTAATCAAACACTTTAACTCGATTATAGCCCTTTGCTACAAGCCTAGCCTTGTAATGATCAATGCTCCCATCAGCCTTGAGTTTCACCTTATAAACCCATTTGCACCCTATGGAGTGATAGCCTACGAGTAAAGGAACAAGAGACCAAATATTGTTCTTCTTAAGAACTCCGTAACTCACACTACATAACATCTTTCTAGTAGGCAAACTTCACGACTTGTAAGTATGTTTTGTAAAAAATGGTAGATAAGGAGGTAGTAAAGGCAATATGAGATGGAGATAATTGAGAAGTGAAAAGGTAATTATCTATAGGATATGGAGTAGAATGAACTAGATTCGCATGAGGTGTAACGAGGTTTGGAAAGAAAACAATGCCGATAGGCTTTCGGATATTTTAGAGTAATTATTCCGGTATATTTCCTAGAAATAGGAGGAGAAGAAGAAATAAGAGCGAGAATCTTGAGAAGTAGGAATAAGAAAAATTTGATCAATGTGATTCTCAAAATTATTGAAGGATTCATCACGGATAGGAACTTAATCAATATCATGACCAATAAAAGAATCGGTAGTAGTATTTTCAAGAAGATGATCCACACGATCAACATGAGGAACAATATGTGTGCCGTAAATGATAATAGTATTAAGGGGTTGATTTTACTAAAATGAAACAAGTTGATATCAAAAGGCATATGATTCATTGAAGATAAATTTTTGAGAAATGCGGAAGACACGGAAGAAGAAAAAGGAGATATAGTCTCATAAAAAATAAACATCTCCGGAAATGGATAGCTTGTGTGATCGAAGATCATAAACTTTGTGTCCCTTAATATTAGGAGGATAATCAAGGAAAACACCAGGGGAAGCTCTAGGGTGAAATTTCTTCATGTTATGACTAATTATGGATACAAAACACAAAGAACCAAAAACCTTCAAATGAGTGTACTTAGGTGACTTGTGAAACACCATTTCATAAGGAGAGGAATTATTCAACATAGGAGATGGGATTCGTTGATTATATAGGTGGTAGTAAGAATAACATCTCTCTAGAATTTCAAAGGTAGCAATGCTTGAAAAAGAAAGTCTCTAGCCATAGACAACAAATGTTGATGTTTTCTTTCCACAATGACATTTTGTTGAGGTGTGGCTATACAAGATAACCGATGTAATATGCCTTTTGAGCTATAAAAGCTAGGGAGATGAAATTCGAGTCCATTATCGGACCTTATTTGCTTGATAAAACAATTGAATTGATTAAGGATCATTTGGTAAAAAGATGGAATAAGGGATATAACATCGGATTTATGTTTCAATAAGAAAACCTAAGTCACTCTTGTAAAGTCATCAACAATAGTTAAGAAATAATGGAAACCATTTGGAGAAGGAACAAAATAAGGTCTCCAAATATCCATATGCACCAATTCAAAAGGGAAAACTCGTATCTTTATTATGAATTGGAAATGGCAAGTCATTTTTGTTTTGTTAAGGGACATATAAAACAAGGAGATTTGACATTACATTAAACATCCGAATAATTCTAATGAATCAGTTTGATTATATCGGTAGAAACATGTCCCATCCTACAATGCCATAGATTTGAAACAGAATGATCGATAATTTTATGATTATTAGACCGAGGATTACAAGATTTTTAAATAGAAGAGACATGACCGACTTAGACAAATTAAAAAATGAATAACCCCGCTCGAAGATTAGCAGTTCCAATCGTTATCTATGAAAAGATGTCTTGAATCACATAAGCATTGTCGGAGAATGTCAGTTGGTATTGAGATTGAGTGGTGAGTTTACCGATAGAAACTAAATTGAATTTGAAAGATGGTATGCAAAGAACATTATGAAGTATAAAGGAGGATGATAAGAATACTTGAACAATATAAGTAACAAAAGCCTTAGATCCATTAGGCATTTGCACTCGTTTTATTAGATACAAGTTTATAGGTTGTGAAACGTGTAAGTGAACATGAAATGTGATCAATTGCTCCCGTATCTAAAATCCAAGTGCATGAATTAAAAATTGGAATAATGCTCTTAGAGGAACAACAAGTAGGCAGATTGAATTGCTACTTGTAAGACTAGATATAGGTCGTGTGTTTGGAGGTTGAGAACTTAAAGCATGTGAATCTTGCACACTTAAAAGGTTCATCAATTTGGAAACTTGCTCTTGAGTGAGAGATACGATTGACAAAGCAGATTAAACATTGGAGGCTAAGTCTTGAACTAAGATATTTCCACTTTGAAAGGGAGATACGGATGCTACATTATTGACATATTTAGAAGAGCTTGTATTGCTAGAATTATTCACCATGTGACCATCATTGTTCAAGTTATTTCGGCAAATCCTTTATATCTAATGAACTTGAAATTTTTCAAAAATCCAATGAGCTTGTAGCACTTATCCTTATTGTGACCGAGTTTGCCACGAGTAAGAACAACTAATCCGCATCCTTCTTTTATTGCCGGGAAAGACAACTATGAAGAATGCTCATTCGGAGGTTGATAAAGAATCTACATTGTCCTTTGAGACTCCTCCCTTAAAGCCAAATTATACACTTCATCCAAGCTAGGAATAGGCTTCATAATCGAATCTGTGACTTCAGTGAGGCAAATGATTCGTTTAATTCATTTAAGAATTTTAAAAAATAATCTTTCTCTTGAATATCCATAAACTTTTGAAAACATTCATTATTACAAGCTCCACAAGAATAGTGTGGTAATGGCCTAAAACTTCTTAGTTCTTCCGGACTCCATTCAACTCGAGTAAAGCGGATAGTTATAGGTCTAGCACCTTGATTGATTATGTAAAGTGATCATTAAAATTGTAGATTCGAGATTCATCTGGTTAAGAGAATCTTTTCTTTAAGATCGCCCAAATCTGCTAAGTTGAATTCATGTAGAATACAATCGAAGCAATTGAAGGTGATAGTGACCTTAACAACCATGCTACAATTAAGTTGTTACACCAATTCCAAGAGTTGAGCAATTGATCTTCATCCTTGAGCTTAGGAATAAAACCATCCACAAACCATAATTTGTTTCGAATTGACGAGTGCCAATGCAAAGGATCCGCTCTAAGCTATATAGATCTCCGTAGTTAGAAGAGGAGTAACTACTAAAGATCCATGGTGATCTAAATGATGAACATAATAAGAAGAGTAGGAATCAACCTTAAACGACATTGTTTCCATAACCTAATGTCGTGATCGATATGCTTTCGTTGTGGAAGAAATCTTCAATGACTCAAAGCTTCAAAACCTTGATTAATGATCCTCATATCTCATGAGGCTTTGACACCATGTTGAATTTCTTGGATTACAAATCAAGAATGAAATCCAAGAAATGAAACTGACATTGAAGAATGAAATGGAAGCAGAGAACATAGGATAGAGAGCAGTGAGCTATAGAGAAGAGAAGGAAAAAATGAATATTTGGAAAAGCTTTCAAAATTACATTTACAATTTGTTACTGTTTTCCCTTTTATACAACATTTAGTCTTAACACTCAAAATTGACCCCTAACTAACCAACTAACTTGCTAACAAACTTCAAACTAATTATGCTAATTACAATTAATGATAAATATGCATTAATAGGCATGTGTGCCTTGCACACTTGCACACTTCTAATAGGAACGACAAAGAAATTATAATAAGGAGAGGCAATCGGCTTAATGTAAGCTTGCATTTTTTTGATCCCTTCACCAAACAATTGAAGATGCTAGGGCAACTTGATGATGTCTTTTCTTTCGGTTATTCTCGCACTTACCTGGAAAGCTTGGTTTCAATCTTCTAGGGCCACTTATATATTGGTATTACAATTTTATTAATAATTTGTATTACCTTTTATTTCTCTTTCCTTATTCAATTATTATATATGTTGTTGTTGTTGTTTTTTTTTCCCCCTTTGTGATCAATTTAAGTCAAATTAATTGAATGTGGTACCATTATATATTTGTGATCATATGATTTCATAAATTGAATTCATTATATATATATATATAAACACATCACCATATTTTTGTTTTAATGCTTACATGTTAATTTGTGTTTTTACATCTGTTTTTCAGGTTTTTTTTTTTCTTTTTTTAACTTATTAGAACAATTAAAAAAAAAAGCTGCACAATTTTACTATGATAGGGTTTGTCAATTTAGGATGAGTTTTTTTTTTAATAACAAAAACGAAAAAGAAAAAAACACTACTTCTCAAGCAACAACATAATTCTGATGCAAGCTAGCTTTTACAAATTGAAGATTATTAAGTAAACAACATAATTCTTATATAAAGAGGAAAGCAAATTTCTGTAATAAATAATTTCAATCATTATTCAAACTGGGTGATATTGAACAATATTGATTATAAAAGAGGAAAATATATATGTTTCTGTAAAAAATGTATAGAAAATTAACCAAACTGGGTAGAGTTTGGAAAATTTACTTCTTTCTACTACTATAATTGGAATGGCGGGCAGAAATGTGCCACAGCGCCAACTGCTCAAGGAATAAACTCACTGAAAGAGCTATTACATTCTTTTTTAGCTACTGCTTATATTTATAAACAGTTAGTGGGCTGAACAAGGCCTGAAGCAACTCCACCAACATTGCTACATGAAGCTTCAACTTGCTGATTCTTGTAACTCAGCTTTACATCTTCCAATTTGATACCTGTGCATGGATACTTTTTGCTACAATCAAATTTCACTGCAACTTCTGTTGCTGATGATCCATGAATGTCTTGGTAGGTCACATCACTAATTTTCACACCAGAAACCTGTTTGATGTATAAGAAAATAAAGAGAAAGTTTTAAGCATATTTTAGATTTTGCCATTCGAAATTTGAATTAAAATAGTGCAGAAAGTTGATTTGCGTACCTGGCCAGGGCAATTCTTCTCGCCAGGGCAATAGTTTTGGTCGATTACAATGGGATTTTGGAAATTGTTCATGACTGCATGCTGGAAAAGAATATTTTTAGCAAAACCACTGCTAGGCCTTCCCCAAGACTTGATCCTCACTCCATTTTGAGTACCAGTAAATGTAGTGGTTTTGACAGTCACATTTTGCACCCCAGCCTCTTTAGATTCCTTGCCCAAACTTCCAATGCTACATCAACAATGTATGCATTATTTTAGTTCCCATAATTAGCAATGCATTGAATAGGAATGTAGAGTTCAGGATCATCAGGCTATTATTTCCTTAATTACCTGATTCCATGGCCAGGTCCGCATGCCATATTTTCAATCCACAAATTGGAGGTACCAGGGCCAATTGATACACAATCGTCACCCGGTTCCAATCCTAGAATTCAAGATGGTGACTCCGGTCGATGATTGAACGTGAATACCATCTGTGTTAGGGCTATTGCCGGTGGCAGAGACTTTCACTCCTTGCACTTTGACATTTTGGCAGCCAAGGATGACAATGTGGAACAATTGGCTATTTAATGATGCCAATCCGGTGATTACTATGTTTTTTGAATTGGAAAATTCAAGTGACTGCACAATATAAATAAATTAACAAGAAAATTAAGAATTTGAAAATAGATTGCATAATATTCAGTCTAGAGACCAAATTGTAAGATAGTTATGTATTGATGCATGTGATTAGCATACCGTTGCGCCATTAGGGCAATCCTTGCCTGAATTCTTGCATGACCACAGTCCGGCACCTTGTCCATCAAGAGTCCCTCCGGATATAGTAACCCCATTAACTTGCTCAAAGATTAGCCAATTTTTAGCATTAGCAATGACCCCATATTTTGATGGAGCGACTAGGGTGCCATCTATACGTAGCAAAATAGCATTATTCCTGCAAGGACCCTGGAACCTCACTTGACCTAAAGAGAAACTCCCTTTAGGAACAGAAATTGTGGCTGGCTGTGTAGAGGCACATGCTTGTGACCAAGCAGCAGCGAAGGCCTTGGTGGAGTCAGTTTTTCCATCAGATTTGGCCCCATAACTCAGCACACTATATTGTGCTGCCTTTGCTAAAGGTGAGGAGGCAAAGGAAATGAAGAGAAGGGTAATAAGAAGAGGAGTGATTGGAAGTGGAAGGACTGCCATACTTCTTTCTGGTTTTGGATGCTATATGAATCGATGCAAAATGAAGAGAAAGAGAGACTTAGGTGTGGTTGTAGAGTGACTTACGTGAGATGTTGAAGCATGCATTCAGAGGGGTGGTATTTATAGGAAATTTGGATAAGAAATATGGAATATAGAATATATTTTGGGTATTTGAAATAATAAAGCAAAATCCACATATTCACTATTTATGAAAGGGAGTGTTTTTAACAATAGTTAACCTACTTTGTGACCATCATAAAGATTGTCGTACCGTTTTGAGTATAATACATTTTATTTATTTATTTATTACAAATAAAAGGTTTGAACTGAAAACTACTTTGTGAGCATGGAAAACACTAATACTATTTGAGTTATAGTTTATTAAGAAGTGTTTTTGTTAATTAGATAGATTTCTTCTGGAGTATTGTTTGTAACGATTTTAAAAGAAAATCTTGGAGAATTAGATCGAACTCTTCATTGGTTCTTTACCGGATTAAAAAGTTATCTTAAATTCACATGCATTTGAAACTTTTTGGATGAAATAATTGAAAAGAGACCAACATTTTCAGCCAATTCTTTGTGTCTTCAAATTTCAACCTGGAAAAGTACTAGGCATTGCTCAGCTGATCTAAAAGGGGAAATAATTAGCTGAAAGGATGGAGAAAAGGAGAATTAATACACGTAAATGGTTGCTTGAAATGGCAAATTCCCAATTAAGATAAGTATAATTAACATCCATGTCCATAAATGATAAAATGACACAGAAAACATGCATGCATCACCGCCTTGCCTACCAACTTCCCCCACTTTATTTCCTCTGTACTGTACACTACTCTATCTCTTTGCTTCTACAGCAAGTTCAAAGGCTTGAAATCCTATTCTCAATTTCTAGCTCTTCGATCCTATATTTTATCATTTCTCTTACACATTATATATTTTCCACAATATGCTATTATTAATGAATTAGTCAATTTACAAAAAATTATATTAACTTCGGTTTATATCTATAAATATATATACTCAATTAATGAAAGGATGATCATGTGCATGCATGTTATTAATTATTATGTGTTCCTTGATAGAATCACAACACATTTTGTTTCTTGTCCTTAGTATTGAGTCATTCACTAAGTACATATATGGTAAATTCTCTCTTTGTTACATATACAACATGATATTGGGTATAAGTAATAGGTGTTTTCAAGATAATATTTATACATATTAATTGAGATCAAATCCATCATTCTTTAGATTATATTAACATTCGATTTAGATAATGTCTAATCTTGGATTGATTATAAACATCAAACTCTTTAAATCAATTAACAGCCTATATATTATACTCCATGAAAAAAAAAAAAAAAAAAAACTTTTCATGAATGAGAATCAAATTCTTAATCAGAAATATTCTTTTTTACCGCCTCATCTATTTAGGCTAGTGAATTGTATTTATTTATTTTTAGCAAAATATGACTTGTGAGTTAAGATTTTTAAGCATGAAATAGTTGAATGATATACATTGAAATAATTTAGTACCAATAATATTGTCCCAACGAAGAAAAAGAATTTACCAGTAAATATTTTGGTCATTAATTAATACGATAAATAGATACACATATGTATATGAATTGTTGGAAAGTGCGGATGAACGTGACAGATGGAGAAAAGAACGGAGAGAAATCGGCTGCTTCTTTTCAGTTTTTATATATGGCCCCTTAAACTCACTCTCTCTTTTAAGTTTTTATGGTCCCTTAAACTCCCTCTTTCATTATTTTATCTTGAATTTTTTTTTTGACCTTTTTTGCACGAGTAAATTATAAAATAGTCAAATTAATTTAAAAAATTGTTTCAAAAATCATTATTTAATTTTTTGATTAGTGTTGACTATGTTTAATTAAATATTATTTTTATTTTATAAAATATTTTCTTTTCCCATCCATCTTTTCATAAATTTTTTTTAATTTTCTAAAACAAAAGCTCAAAATAATTTTTTTTAAAAAAAGTAGAAATAAATTATAAATTATAAGAAAATTAAAAAAAAATAAGAACTGAATATATAATTTTTAAATAAATATTTATTTATTTTTGGAAACGAGATGAAATAATTTATAATTTACTCGATCTTGCACGTGTTGTTTTCTTTCGCTTTTGGTGTTTTTGATTAGACACCACTATTCTGTTGTAAAACCTGCCTAACTATGCAATGGAACAAACAGTACAATTTTACTTCCTTGTTTCACATTTGCAATCGCATTAACTTTTAAACTCCCTAAATTCTGATCCACAAATTACATATGAAGATGGGAATTAATTAATTAATTAATTAATCAATCACTCTTGACCTTGGGAGATCAGAATGTAGTAAATATTTATTTAACAAGTACAGTACCTTAAACCCATCATTTCTCAGCATCTTAATTGAATTGTTACAATAATTAATAGCCTCTTTTCTTTCATTATTGTAATTTGTTAAAACACATATCTCATAGTGAATAATTAACCAAAGATAATTACTATATAAAGTTGAGAAGGGATCATCCATCATAAAGTTTAAATCTTTTGAATTGAATTTAATTTTAATTATTTAATTTTATATGATATCAAAACGTCAAAAAAATCATAGCAATTGCAAGTGAAAGAAATTCAATTTCGACTATCTAACTATGTATAATTGATTATTTGAAGATGGGGTCTTGAGTACGTACTTGCTACACAAGGGATAATAATATTATTCAATTTACTTAAGAATAATTAAGGTTGTTGTGCTCACATGTATTCGCCAACAACCAATATTCGTAGCCGAGCTTGACCAATAGACGGACAAAGAATGGGCTTTTGGTGTGTTTGTGGTGTATTTGACGACCAAAACATGTATGTCTTGAGTCAATGTCTTCAACATACACACATAAAAACACATGTAAATAGCAATGTTTGATGAGTGAAAGCTATAGCTTAATATTGCAATTGCCTTGTTTTAAGGACTCCCTGTTTCAAGCAATTTTTGCCGGAGGTAGCATGTGATATGCATGTGTTTGATCGTCATCACTCTCATACAATTTGATTGTTTTCATGGTGAAGGTCAAATTGCTCTATCTGCCATACTTGATATATTTGAAAAAGACTATATAAGTAAATGGTACGTACGTAGCAATTGTAAAACCTAGCTACTTCTAAAAATTTGTCAATTTCTTGTCAAATTAATGTATATAAGTGATTGATTAAACTTTGGACAAATTCATACTTGAAATTGATTTTGAGAAATTTTAAAATACTCGAAGAGTAACTAATTGCATGTTCGGTAGTTATTTCATTGACTCGTTTAGAGAAGAGAGATAAACATAAAAAAGAAGAGAAACACAAGAGAGAGAAAAAAATTGAACGAACGTGGAAATCTTCTTATCACTTTTGATGGGTCCGAATATAACTTTATGTGTCTATTTTTTTCTTCCAAGTGAATCTATGAAGTAACTACTCGTACATATCACTAATTACTCATTAAATATTAGAAAATTTCTTGCTGATTTCAACTAACTCAAGTGACAACAAATTTCCCTTGAATGGGAAGTAGCCGACTTAAGTAAGCGAGTTTTCTATATGGGGTTTCTTGTCGTTTGGTGCAATATATGTATGTACATTCACGGCATAAGTTGTCGAGAAACCACAATATACATCTTGACAGATTGGTTGTTGATCAATATTTAGATTACTCGT